TGCCTTGCTCTTTTATTCTCAGCTTTCAATCTGATCTGGCTTTAATCTGTCTCCTAGTTACGTTGTCTACTCTACAATGTCATCTACACAACCATGTCACCTACACTACAATGTCATCTACACTGATCATGTCATCTACACTGCAATGTCATTGACACTACCATGTCATTGACACTACCATGCATCTACACTACCATGTCGTCTACACTACCATGTCATCTACACTACCATGTCATCTACACTACTATGTCGTCTACACTACCATGCATCTACACTACCATGTCATCTACACTACCATGTTATCTACACTACCATTTCGTCTACACTACCATGTTATCTATACTACCATGTCATCTACATTACCACTCCACAGGCTCCATACCCCCAGGACTGCTCAGGAGTTCAGGCTTGTGTGTGTGTGTATGTGTGTGTGTGTGTGTGTGTGTGTGTGTGTACCCCTCCTTGTTCTTTCTCTCACTCCATTTTTATCCCAGCCTTCCACCTAGACTTCCCTTCCAATTTCTGTATATTAGCTATACGTTACCCATCTTGTAAGGTCTAATTTAAGCACTTCTTCCTCAATAAAACATTTCAGACTACTGGAGTCTAGGAGATTTTGTGTCACCTACACCTGCCTACTACATTCCCATCAAAAGGATAGAATACACTTTCTATAGCACATATTATTTAACAGTTATTCTTTGTAATAGCTTTTGTAGTTGAAATTTTATATTTGACACTTATATTCTTATTAACTTTTAATGTGCCTTATGCCTTTTCTTCCAACTAGATTGTTGTTACTCTTTACGGGAATGAGCAGTCTTTGGGATTTAGTTCATTTATGTAAGTGTGTCTCCGTTCAGTGATTTAACAAGTGCTAATTGAACACCCACCTGGTGCCGGAAATTGTTCCAGATGCTAAAGAAATAAGATCCTACCCTTGTGAAAAGAGTCTGATTCCCATGAAACATACCTTCCTGTAGAGAAGAGAATAGATATTATGCTTCATGTCAGATAGTTATAAGTGCTATGTAGAAAAAAACATACTAAGGATGGGTAGTTATGGAAATACCATTTTAGTTAGAGAAGATATCTCTAGAAAGATAATATTTGAAAATATCACAATAAATCATAATGGCAAGTCACATGTATTTGAGGAATTTTTTTTGTTCTAAGCAGAGGGAACAGCAAGTTCTGAGTTAGGAATGAGCTTAGCATGTGTCAAAGAGTAGCAAATATGTTCGTATGCCTAGAAGCATATGAAAGAGGTAGAAATGAGAGTTGCCATGTGGCCAGAGGCAGGTCATCTATCCTGGGACACACAGATAAGCCCTGGATTCTGTTCTAGCTCTAAGGGGAGCTATTGAGGGGTATACTAAGGAGGAGAGTGTCATATCTGCTCAAATACCATTTTCATCATTTATAGGCCTTTTACTTTTTTCTTAACTTATTATTTTTCACTAATTTTAGACTTATAAACAGGTTGCGAAATTTCTTCAGAAGTTATCTGATGTTAACATTTACATACTCACAGTATATGTAATATTTTAATTTTAAGGAATGATGTGGCAGCAGTTTATAGAAGGGCACGTAGGAGGGTGCTTTGAAGGGAGCCTGAGACAGGAATTCTTGCAAATGTTACTTATGAAGGGAGGGTAATTCAGGAGGAACCCGTAAAGGGTGGAGAAAGGGAAAGACCCCAGGAAGACTGTGCGTCGGGTGAAGTGTAGGCTCAGCTTGAGCCACAGGGGATGTGCTTCGAGCATAACTTCCATGACAGGCAAGGAAGGGGTCACCTTTTCATATTTCCCAGAGTCATTGCTTGGCCTTTGGGCCCTAACTTCCCAAGCAGGCTGCTGCAGGCAGCAGGGCACAGCTCCCTAGCAGTCAGTCCTTAGCTGCTAAAGCAGCAACTGGGAGATGGGTAGCCTGCCTAGTCATGGAAACTTGAGCTGGGTCCCAGTGTCTCCTACAGTGGGCTAAATGAAGGTGCATGTGTTGACCATCTTCCATGTGCTAACCATTCTGCTCAACACCATGGGGAAATTAATGATGCACTTGGCACAGTCCCTCTTCTTGAGGAATTTACATTTGAAAAGAAACAAAACTGAGGCATGAACAGAAGTAATTACAGTTTGGGCAAAATATTAGAATTGTTACATAACTGGCATGATTATGGACATTCAGAATCAAGATAGATTATCTTCAGTGATCAACAAACAAAAAGCAAAACAAACAAACAAACAAAAATATGTGAATGGTATCTCTTGAAATAGTGTTTAAAGAATGGATAGACATTCGAAAAGTGGGCAGATAATCCATCGTGGTATAGCGTTTATAAAGGTTTTCTTTGGAGTCAGATACGTCTATTTGTTTATTTAATTCTGGGGGATCACTTATTAGCTATGAGATCTCAGAAATGAACTTATAATCTTCAGAGTTTTATTTTATCGTTAACAAACCAATAATAATTAACTTAAAATATTGCTGGAAGGTGAGAATAGAGGACATAAGCTGAGACTAGAGGACTTTAACTGCTAAGGTGTTTAGACAGGATTTATTTAGTCAATAATGAACCTCTGTACAGTTCTGATTCGAAGTGTGATGTGAATAACGTAGGGTATGTTGCGTTGGTAGCACTGTGCCAGTGGAATGAATAGCTACAGAAATGAAAAGACCAGTTAACAGTCCATTGAACTGTCTCACTGAGAGTGGAGAATAGCACAACTGGGACAGTAACAGTGAATACACACAAGAGGATGTATGTAGGAGACAAAGTAGAATTAAAGTAGTGGAATTTATTGAATGCATATGAGAATAGAGGGATAGGAACTATCTCCAATAAATTAGAGTTATTCATACAAGTATCTTCATTCATCTCTCCTTTCATTCAAAAAATATCATCGCTCACTTTATGGCAGGCACTGCTAGTTATCTGAAATATGGATCCCCGCATGCCTGGACATTATAGTCTAATGTGGGGTGACTCTAAACAAAAACCAAAAATGTGTGTGTGCGCGCACACATGCGCATGTGGTAAATGGCTCTTATAGAGAAGAGTGGGGTGCTGCAGAGGTGTCCCTTTGATTATAGTGGGCAGGAGAGGCTTTTTGAGGCTAGTTGATTGTTAAGAATAATTGTTAGATGATGTAAAAAGGTGGGTGTAAAATGTTGTCACAACACAAAGTAAAGAACAGGTCAGACAGTCCTGAGGTGGAAAATGGAATTGAAAGAAAGCCAAAGAGCATAATAAACAGATTGGAAAGTGGCATGAGATAAGGCTTAGGGAGGTGCATAGGGGCCAGTCCATG